AACTCACTCACTAACTAATTCTTACCACATTTGTTCCTCTCGAGTGAGAAAATCGGTCGGCAGGATAGATCCGTGACGCCTCGTAACTCCTTCGCGGCATATAATCCCTTTAATCAATTAGCCCCGACGTTGAAAATGAAGCAATTCCCCCGTTGTCGAAGAAGATGAGAGAAAGAGAAAGATATATATATATAGTATATAGTATATAGTATATAGTATATATATATATATATTACGTGGTATGAAGAAAGATGGAAAGATGGTTGGTAAGATGCAACACGTTCCTTAACCTATCCTCAATTCTTATTCGATGCTTTAAAACCGAACCGTAAGCACGGGATATTAATTATCTGGGGCATAACACACATACTAGTTACCAATACTATCTTATTTATTATGATATACTATGATACATCTCTCCTTATGTTATGTTACTCGAGAATAGGTACGAGTTGCTTCTATCGATAAACGTGCAACCCACCCGTGACTTTCGCTTTTTCCTACCCTCCAGCCATCGTTATTATTATTATTATTATTATTATTATTATTATTATTATTATTATTATTATTATTATTATAATTACTCTATCCGATTGCTTTCTTCTTTTTAATTTTTAGTTTTTTTTTTTCTTTATTCGTGTATAATAATCATCTTGTATAATTATTTATATATTTTTCGTAAGTTGCATTGAAAACAAAAAAGGTAGAGATAAAAATTGACAAGTTTTTGACAACACAGATATAATTTTATAATATTTTGTAAAACACATTCTATTGAATTAATATATGTTCGACTATATTTAATTTATTTCAGGATAAATAACAAATTATATATATATATATAATTATAAGAGTAATTATCTTAAATATTATATAATAATAATATATATATATATATATATATATAGAAAGAGATATATTGATAGATAGATAGAAAGAAAATTAATATGCATCAGAACATCTCTTTGAAGATTATTCACCTGAATGAATTCTAATCCTGTTTAGAGATCAAAATAGCACGATTTATCAGAAATCAAACTATCGTTACGATCGATCATCGTTCAACCATGATAACTTCTCTATCTCTATCTCTCTCTCTCTCTCTCTTTCTTATATTCATACTTTAGTAAATATCAATAACTTACTTGATCTAATCCTAAGGTATTTAGTATATCGATAAAGAGAAAATAAGACAAGAAACTGGGTCAACTATTTATATTACTGCAACGTTTGTCATAGCTTTTATGATGATGCATCCAACATTTACAAAGAGACAGATTCGTACTCATACACATACACATACACATACACATACACACACACACACACACACACACACATCCATACACATGTATCAAGCTCGTTATTATTATTCTTATACGCAATAGTAATAATAAATCGACTCGGATTTAGCAATGAGTCTTATTTCAGCAATCAGTAAAACAGTTCATATTAAAAAAAATATATATTATTTCTAGTAAAACAAATCATTTAATTTTTTTTATTATTAATTACTTAATTAATTAGCAAATACCCAAATAGGTAACGATGATATTTTAGTTTAATTATTTTTTTACATAACACACACACGTATGAATTATTTTTTTTTTGATCATTTAATGTGTTTACGTTTGAATTTATATGTTTTTTTATTTGCATATTATGAAAATTTTGGAATAAATTTATTGATTATATATGTTTGTGTTAATGAAATAGGAAATTACTGTTGGTGAAGATAAAAGTTAAATCTCGTAATATCGTAGAATATAATTTCTCTTCTTTTCTTATGCAATTGAAAAGCATTGAATAAAGATAGAGAAAGAGAAAGAGAGAAAGAAAAATGAAAGAGAGAGTGAAAGAGAAAGAAATTAGCCATTCCACGAGGTATTATATGATAGAGATCTATTTATGCAAAATGATGAAATCCTATTGTGTGATCTCCTTCACACAGACATCATGGAAGATACACGTTAGATCTAAACTAATCTCTAGTAGATTCGACATTTGTGTTTTGAGATTAAACGATCAAACATATTCGATCACATCTAGTTTAATCGAACGTTGTTTTCACGCTAATTTACAAATATCATAAGCGTTACATCCACATTATACAATTTTAATAATAAAATAAAATATATTTTTATTCAAATATAAATATGTCACATTATATATGGTAATTATTATCATCATTAATACGTTATCGTTTTATTTTAATATTTATTTGTAACTTATTATATATATATTTAAACGAATTATTTAAGATAATTGAAATAATTTATTTTCTTGTTTTTATATTTTGCCATTTTGTTTATTATTTATAGATTTTATATTCATGCATAATTGATCCAGATAACGTGTGTATTTTTAACGCGATAATCAGAAATGATTATGAGACACGTATTATATACGCGCATTATTATGTTTTAATATTTAAACGTATTATTAAAATAATTAAAATAATTATTTCTTTTTCCATGTTTTTTTTTTTTTTAATAATTTCTTTTCTTTCGTTTATTATTTGTATTACACTATTATATTGTTATGCATGATTGGATCCAACAAAAATTGTACGTTTTAAATGCAATCATTATTCAACGGAAATTAAAAGAAAGAGAAAGGAAAGAAAAAATATAAAAGAAATGTTACTTTTCTTCTTTTAAATTAAAATCTTGAAATACTTTGAAATTGTTGAAATTCTTTTAAATGTGTTTTAAATGGGATTTAACAATTTCGTGCCAAGACCAGACGACAAAATACATTAACCGTACTCGATAAGAGCCTGTGCATGCTGAGATTTTCATACTGTTTTTTTTTTTTTTTTTTCAATACTATTTCACTCTCTTGTTCTTTTATGTTTATCTTGTTTCCTTTTTTTTTTACTTTTTAAATATTTTTTTTAATTTCATTCTATCGCTTTTATTATTCTCGCGTGATTAAACGCGACTCAACGTCATTTCGCACGATCTTTGAATACGTCAAGGTTAATGAGACTCGATTAATCGTATAATGAATATTATATTTGTTTATTAATATCAAATATATTATTTTTCATATAACTTGTACAATTATCTGATCGAATGATAAAAGAAACTACACGTCAAGCTAATAATAACGTTCTAATAAAAAAATAAAAAAAACTGGAATAAACAACAACAATTGACCTAAATGATTTCGGTTTAAGTAAACGTATTTTCAGGATTTAAACAAATAGTTGACCTAAATAATTTACAATCAATTTAAACTAACATTAGGAAATCAATAGCTGTTAACTTAAACGATTTCAACGTAACATTAATGTCAAAATTGGAGCTTAAATAATTTCGATATAATATAAAATATTTCAGAATTTACCTAACAGGTGACCTTAATTTCAATATAATCAAACTATTAACCTAAATAATATCAATTAATTTGAACCCAACATTAGAAGCGATAACCAACAGTTAACCTAAACGATTTAAACGTGTAACATAACATCCAAAATGAAACCTGATTTCGATATAATACGAAATATTCAAGAATATACCTAACAGTTGACCTCAATTTCAATGTAACACAAGATCACAAATGATATCCACTAACATTTGACCTAAATTACTTAGGTCTACGCAATCAAGTATAAATACTACTATTCTAACATTTACTTACGAAGGAAGAAATCTCTAATGTAACGTTTTAAAAAATATATATTTTTTAATTTATTTTTTTTGTATGTGATAAGTAAGATCCGCGATGGAAGGAAGGTACGATCTTGTTCCTTCACGTCATGATGATCTTTCTCGAGCGATCTTCCATCCAGGATGACATCAAGGCCGACGAAACTCGCGTCTCTTTCTAAACATGTCTCAACTACCTCCTCCTCCTCCTTCACCTCCTTAACCTCCTCCTTTTTCTTTCCCATACGTGCAAGAGAATCGAGATCGTTGCTAACAGCATGACTCCGAAATATAAATAATCGTACGTGATGACTACGAGGAAAAAGTATAGAAAAAAAATATAAATATGAAAATATGCGATAGTAACCACCAGTCCTTGAAAAAGGAACGAATCGTTAAACGTTCAATTTTCTACTATTTCTCCTATTTTTTACTTTTGTTTTTGTTATTGTTTCTTTTACGTTTTACCATTAAATGATTGAATCATGGATACCTACTTGAATCTCGTAAAGTGCACTTAAAAAAAAAAAAAAAGAAAGAACTTTCAAATGCTTACGAGAACAATATTATTATTCGGTTTCTAATATATGATATTTTTGTTATTTCATAATTAATTAACGAACTCACATACACACGGATGCCTCAATATTTTAATAGGACACTTTTCTTTTTGGAAATAAAAAGAAAAAGAATGAGACACGCAAAACGGAAAATGATGAAACAAATAACTTTGAAAATTTATTCGAAATAATATTAAATTAAGATACACGTAATAAATTAAATTATATTAAATATGATTATATTAAATAATAATAATAATAATAATAATAATAATAATAATAATAATAATAATAATAATAATAATAATAATAATAATAATAATTAATATAAAAAAGATCAAACATAACCGCCCCCACCGAAATCACTTATTACTTTTTTATTTTTTTTATTATTTAATATTTATTATTATTATATATTATTATTATATTAATTATATTATTGTTATTATTATATTTAATTATATTCATAACAAACGATCGCACTTTTGCATGAAAATTTTCGTTAAATATCGTAAATTAACGAATGATTTGAAAAAAAGAAAAACCAATAAAAAAAAGACAAATCTAATTTAATAAAAAATGATTGGTAATAAAAAAAAAAATAAAAAAATACGAAAGAATATAAAATGTAATCTAAATCGAAATCGAATGGCATATAAGTCTATCAGAAATCGCATCATAACGACAAGTTAGTAAATCAGAAATGGGAAGAACGTGTGTACCTTATCCCCCTTTCCCCATCCCTGACATCAGCCCCCACAGTACCCCCCATCGTCCCCTTTGGGCCCCCATTCGGTACTATCTTTGACAGAAGACATCTAGTTTCCCCTGTCTCTTTCCCCCGTTGGCACCCCAGTTGTTCATCCAAACTCCCCCCACCATTACAACGTTGACCAAGAATCGTCTTTAGTCAGGTTGCTAGCAGCGCATCCTCTTGCACTCCCGTAAAGACTTTCTCCGAAAGACGGACAACTATATAAGCGAGATCGGTTGAGTTTGAAACACGTTAGACGAATTCGTACGAGGAAGACGAACGGGTCAGCTCGTCTTTACGGGTCGATATCTTTTTCTTCTTATTATTATTATTATTAATTAATTAATATAATAATAATACTAATAATAATAATAATAATAATAATAATAATAATAATATTGTTATTATGCAAAAATTTTTTATTATTATTATTATTATTATTATTATTATTATTATTCATTTTAATTTTTTGTTCGTTTTCATATTCATCTCGTTTTAAGTTAGAGGATACACACGTGGGGTTACGTTTAATATTTTATAATCGTTTATTGATAAAAATTTTTTTTCCACCTTATATATATATATAGATAGATATATAATCGTGATAGTAGAAGTTTTTAATATTTAAAAAAAAACAATTGTCAGAGAGTACCGCGTTTTCGGCAAATTAATTTTGTCATTTTATTTTGTTTGTTTTCTTTTTTATTTTATTTTTTTTTTTAATTTTATTGTTTCACTTTAGATCTTGATCGTTGATCTAATCTTAGCAGAACTATGAAGTCTGCTAACAATCGGCCGCCCTTCTTCCATCTGGTGGCTACCCTTATTGCTACCGCTGCTGTTTTTACCTCCGTTTGCGGTGAAGGTATGTGGATTACTTTTCTTTTTGATTTATTTTCTTAATTTTTATTTTTATATATTATTATTATTATTATTATTATTATTTAAATTGGTATTTATTTTTATTGTTTATCAGTCGTGAATTTTATGAGAATTTTAATACAATGTAATATTTATAATTTTTGATAAATACAAAGTAGGTTGATTAATTTTATAGATTATATATTTAATATTTGCAATTGAAATAAGAATATTTTGTGTTCCATTGAAAATTACAAATTTTATTAATATCTTATTTAGATTTTTATTTATTATCATTATTATCGTTTGAAAATTTGTTCGATTTGAAATAAATTTCTTTAACAGTTGAATATAATTTTTCATAATTTTTCATGGCATTCGATATTTAATTTATATTATTAAAAATATTTCATTTGTTCGTATTTGTTGAAATAAAAAAAAGAAAAGGTTCATCGACCGGTGGCCTAGTTTAAATCCAATGATATCCTTAATGAATTTATCATGAAAATTCGAATTCCAAAGCAATTCGAACGATTTCGTTTCTACGAACCGAAACACACGCGTGGCGTGTATTCTTGATGAACGCAAATCGTGTCTTGTAATTTCTCTCGCTTAGGATTTTACTATGTATCTTACATAGAAATGTATATAAATGTATAGAAATGTATACATAGCAGGTTGTAAAACCATCTCGAAAGTGTTACCCGTTTCTATTTATTATACATGTATATATGTATGTATGTGATTGTCGTGTAACGTGCCTAAGCACAGCAAAACCCATTGTATTACGCCGTGAGAATTTAGAGCAACTTCGATTGTTCTTCGTATTCCAACTTACAAATCAGTGTTAATTACATCCCATACGTGTATCATCAAAAAATACTTTTCAACGTTTGTTAAATCATTTAACACTTCTCTTTTTTCTACTTTTTTTAAACAAATTTTTCACACTTTTCTTTATATTTTATTATTCATTAGCTAATTACTATTATTATTATTATTTCATGAACATAATTCTTTCATTCATTTATTTTTAATTATATTATACATTTATTTATCTCATTTTCTTTAGATTTTTTGTTGTTTATAATTATTGATTTATCTTGTTATTTCTCATTCTTGTTTAATTAATCCTTTCGACATAGACAACTACAAAGTAAGTAAATTGTCAATGTAATTGGTCTTCCTTGGACGTTGCAAGAAATGCTATCAATGAATCAGCCTCTGATCACTATTGTTTTTAACTACACATACGTGCATTTATGTATTTATCTATAGAGATGCATCATGTAGCAATACTAGTTTCACGATTGGATGTCATTAACTTGTGATTACCATCCTTTTCTTTTATTACACGAAATTATTATCTTACGTGTAACATTTAATTTCTCTGTCTTTTTTTTTCTCACTTTCAATGATTCTATACCGTAACGAAATCTGTTTTGTTAAATCAAGAAAGACAAAAAAAAAGTGTTTATACATTGATTTTTAAGAGTCTATGGAAAAATTTGTCAATGAGTAAGCTACTACGAAAATATTCGTCAATGCACGAGTCTACGTTAACAGTTGATCAATGATTTTTGTCTAGTCGTCCTATTCGTAGATTTATTCATTGCATTGATTAAATTCATCGTAGATACTTTTTCGAAATTGTACAATGAAAATTTTTGTGTATTACTTTTATTAATTAATCATCAATTTAATTCGTTCGTTTTATTCGTAGATTTCCAATTTCATTGAATAAATTCATCGTAGATATTAACAAAAATAAAAATTTATTTTCATCGCAAAATAAAATCATATAAATTCATTATTTTTATTTTATTTGTCGTAAAGTAAAACAACATTCGATCATCTCAAGATCACCTTGATCACTTTCAATGCCAGGTAAAACCGCATTACCGCAAAATCTTCGCAGACTAACATAATACGACTAAAACTAATAAGACGTTGGCTGGTCGAAGATCTTTCTAATCCTGATTAGAATTTTTTTTTTCGATTTAAATAGAAAGACATATACTTAAAATCCTTAATCACGTTTCGTTTAGAAATCTTTTTTTAACAAAATTCTTAGATGATTGGGAAAAGTCATTAGGATGAAGAAAAGTGAACAAAATGATTTGATAAATGAAAGATTGTTAGAAAAGTATAGCATCATATTTATCGAAGTATTACTTTGGTTATACTTTCACCGAGTTTACGGTAAATTTACGCAAGAAAAAGAGAGAAAAAGAGAGAGAGAGAGAGATTTGCTTATCTAGTTCAACAGTAGGTCGTACTCTAAATCACAAACGAACCGCGACATAATCAAAGTAACTTTCGATCGATAACACCAGAACATAACCAAAACCGGTCAAAATGGTGTATCCAATAGTTGAGTCAAAATAAAACTGGTCTTCATTATTTATAATTTATTTTCTTTTTTAATATTTCAATACAAGTAAATGAAACATTATTTATTTATACGTTGATGAAAAATTTCTAATTCGTTGATTTTTTTTATCAAAGTTTTAAGATTTTGACAAATAAAAGCTAATTCAATAATTACAGAAAAACAATTGGTTATATGTTAGATTGAAAACTTGTTAACCAATCATAAGTTTGAATTAGCATTGTTTAATAAAGAAAAAAAATAATTGATTTTCAGCACCAATTTCTGGTAGTTACTTACCACCCTCGACGAGTTATGGAACACCTAATCTAGGTGGTGGTGGAGGAGGAGGAGGAGGTGGTGGTGGAGGAATATCAACGAGCTACGGTGCACCAAGCGGAGGTGGAGGATGTGGATTTGGAGGATGCGGAGGTGGTGGTGGCGGTGGTGGCGCACCATCTGGTAGTTATGGGGCTCCTAGTCCTGGTGGATATTCCGGAGGTGGTGGTGGAAGTGGTGGTGGTGGCGGCGGTGGATTGTCTGGCAGTTATGGGGCACCACCATCCTCTAGCTATGGAGCACCATCAAGAGGTGGTGGTGGCGGTGGCTATTCCGGAGGAGGTGGTGGAGGAGGAATATCGAGCAGTTATGGGGCACCATCAGGTGGAAGGCCTTCGTCGAGTTATGGAGCACCATCAAGCGGTGGTGGATTTGGTGGCGGTTTCGGTGGTGGTTTCGGTGGTGGTGCTGGTGGTGGAAGTGGTGGATACTCAGGTGGCGGCGGCGGTAGACCATCGTCGAGTTATGGAGCACCATCGAACGGAGGAGGCAGACCATCTTCCTCTTACGGGGCACCCTCGTTCGGAGGTGGTAATGGCGGTGGTAGCAGCTACTCTGGTGGTGGCGGTGGAGGTTTCGGAGGAGGCGGTGGTTTCGGTGGTGGCAGCGGTGGATACTCGGGTGGAGGATCACCATCCTCAAGTTACGGAGCACCCTCGCGTGGAGGCGGAGGTGGTGGATACTCCGGTGGTGGAGGTGGCGGACCATCTTCCAGTTACGGTGCACCTTCCTTTGGTGGTGGCAGCGGAGGTGGTTTCGGTGGGGGCGGGTATGTTTGATCTTTTTTTTACTATCATTCTAATCTTATATATATATAATCAATAAATAGACATTAGTAACAATACTTCTTCATATGATTGTTTTATCCAGATCCGGTGGTTATTCCGGAGGCGGTGGCGGTGGCAGACCATCGTCCAGTTATGGTGCACCAAGTTTTGGAGGAAACGGTGGTTCCGGAGGTGGTCAAAGTTACGCTAGCAACGGTGGTTACCAATATTAAAATCACGCAATGTGTTCTATCCGCGAGATTTGGCATCCCGTTTCCTGCCTCCCTACCTCGTATACTCACTTTCATGAGTTTAAATAGAAATAATGGGACGCCATGGAAAATACTATCTAAGCCTTGCGACCAAAACAACGAGTTCATTTTCTTCTTAACGTTGACCAGCCATGAAACTAAGGGTTGCGATATTTGGACCGGACCAAAATCTCGCGGAATTCAATCCGATCGAAGTCAAACTAAGTATGGAAAATATTTATCTGATAAGCCGCCGTCGTCATTCGTATTATATTATTCAACTGAAATCTTTTTTCTTTACGACCCTTGCCATTTTTTTCTTTTTTTTCTTTATTTTACTACATTTAATCGAATTTGATATATACATAGATTATTCATTGATCGATACGAATCCAAACGAAAGAGACAAATCGATATTATTTCATCGAGAATAATTTTGATTTTAAAATACTAATATAAATCGAATTGTGATTTGATCGACGAATAAGTTTTACGAATGCAAGCAAACAAACAAACAAAAAATGAAAAGAAAAAGAAAAATGGAACCTTCCTCTTCGTCCCCTTTTTATGTTCACATTAGACAAAAAATCTCTATCTATAACTTATTTATTTTATAAAGACGCTTTTTATACTAATAAAGTAGCTGTGCTGAGAAAAACAATTGATAAACGAGTGTTTTATCCATGATTACATTATTATCACCACTACCTGCTATCATTATCACTCATTGCTAGCATATATATATAGATATTATTATTATTTCCTGAGAAAGTCAAAAATGGAATGAATGTGTGATGATAATCTTGTAAAGACTTAAACTAGAACCTACATACAACGCGCTATCGTAAGATATAAAAAAAGGTGTGCCTTTAAAGGTAAAGTTAGCTCACATCAGTCGTGGTACGAGTTACTTTTGTTCTAACTCGATTAATCGATTTATCGATCCTTTTCAACTCTTGAAGAAAAAAAAGCAGAAAGACAAAGAGACAGAGAGAGAGAGAAAGAATTGTCTTCTTTCTATTCCTGTTTTAACTCAGCTAAAAACGTACTATCGACCATATAAGTCCGATTTAAAAAAAGAAAAAAAAGAAAAAGAACCACCAACTATCAAAACTAACTCACCGCCGTTATCCTTTCACATAACTTTCTCTTCTTCTTCTTCTTCTTTATTTTTTTTTTTGTTTTTCTTTTTTACTTTTCAGTGGTCACACAAGGCCATCTTGGTTTCAAAATGTCGTTGTGGTTTTACGTTTCCTATTAGTTAAATCGTTGAAAATAATAATTTATACGATATATCAGGGAATAATTAATTAATAATAATGCTATGATGAATTTTTATACACAGTTTTATTTTTAACATTTACAATCAACATCTTTTTTATTTTTGTTTTGTTTTTTTTTTCTTTGTATACTTCTTACTCTTCTCTTTCTTCTTCTTCTTCTTCTTCTTCTTCAGTATACACGAATAATATATATATATATATA